ATATATATATATAAATTGCGAGACCTATCTCCTGGCCTAAGCCTATATGGTAATTATACATTATAGGCCAAATCAATATTTGTATATTATAGGCAAGCTATTACGTTACAACTAAAAATTAAATGAAAAAAAATATATATGGATATATTATAGATAAATCTAACGGAGATTTAAATAGGCAATTTAACCATTAGGATGCGTACCAGTACTTAAGTACAAATAGTGTGAATGTCACTCCAAAAATGACATGGCAATTATAATTACTATAACTTTATTTTGGAAACGACGCATTTAAAACAGCAGACACGCTCTTCCAGTGTGTTCATAAAAGTAACATACTGTACAGCCAAAATACAATATTAAAACAGAGATTTTTAATACAATTTATAATATACGTTACACAATTACAAAAGTTGAATATATCACAGATCCTGTATGTCATTTAACACTTACAATTTATAACATTTACAAGAAAGCACATTTTATATATTGCGGCCAACTGACCTACTATTTTAATACTTATAAATAATAATAATAATCAAATTAATAACATAAGATTTGTATAGGGCTCGCTCATATTCTAATTTAAAGAGTAACAATCTATATACCCTATATACGGATTTTAATTACATTTTGATATATATATGTAATTAATTTTTGCTGGTCTTACATATCATTTATTTGCAAAAATAACAGGAGCTACTTAAGGGTCTATATGGCAGGATTTCCTAATTGAAGAATGCTTGCCATCGAGGGGCTCTCTCGGTCTATCTGGTTTAAAGAACTGCTCAAAAATAGTAAATTATTACAGTATTTATAATATGAAATTGGATATAAAGTAGTGAAATCATTAAAACAAAATCTATAAATAGAGTTACATGAAATTCGACTGCTAAAAAGATTAAATGGAATTAAAGCCCCATTCCCGGCAAAATTTCATTTGTTAAGAAAAATCTAATTTTTGTATAATGTTATAAAGATAATACGGAATTGCTAGTTTAACGGAATTTAGACATTCCTAAGAATGAAAAAAATAAGACTGAAATTTGATTTTTGTGTTCCACAAAAAATAAATGCGGATGAATTTTCATGTTTGATTTTGCAATAGGTCGTGAGGAGAAATATCGTAGGCGCCGAAAACATTAGCCTATGCAACGCTGCTAGGCTAGCCATAGCCTCACCTCGATTTACGTTCTGTTATCACACATAAAAACGGCCGACATGATATTTTCCGTTGCTAGTAATGACACTTGTGAAATATAATATTTCATAGGAATTATTTCAAATTTGTTAAAAAACTGATTCTGACTGAGATTTTGACACTTAAACAAACATATCTCAGCCTTAATCGAAAGACCGCATTGTGCGAGATGCGAAGTACAAAAACTAATCTCATTAGAGAGGGCGCACTTTATTGACTGTATAAAGTACCGTACTCGCGCGAATAAGCGCCCGGGCGGCGATTTTTTTTCCGTACGAAACATTTACATGAAACTCCACTCGGGCCGTCTCGGATGAATCGACCCGAAAATCTTCTATTGCAGAATTCAGGTCAAAAGGTCATCAACAACTTCTGATCTGATCTGAGAGAACGTCGCTGTATATTTTTTTTAAAAATACATTGATGTTACCATATGCTAATACTAATGGGTCGTTTAAAATGACATAATATTTGATTGAGCTTCACGAGTAAAAAAAGGTTATTTTAACTTGGCAATTTTTATTTTATTTTTATTTTTTAGTTAGGTCTGGGGAAAGCACAGAGAGTAAGGAAAAGCACGTTTCTCGGGGCGTTTCATCAAATGAAACAGGGTGACAGTTATTTTCAAACTAAGAGAAGAGCTGAGAAGAGGCACCTCTAAAATACTGGATGCCATAAGACCTGCCAAAATAGCAGAGTACCAACGAATGTATAAATGAGGCCTAAGCCTAGTTATCAGGCATAGTAATCTGCAGATTCTTGATTACAAGACTAGACCAGGTTAATTACATGTAATGCCGAAATGATTATTTATTATTATTATTATTATTATTATTATTATTATTATTATTATTATTATTATTATTGTTATTATGTTACTAAAACCAACCTGTAGGCCTACCTTAATGGGAACTTAGACAATGGAGGAATTAGAGAACAATTAAAAAATCGACGTTAAGGGGAAATAACAGAAAAGATATTCCCCCTGGGCTAGTTAATAATTATAGGCCTAGTTAAATAGTATGGTTCTTCATTACAAGGCTTAGGTCAAGGTAATTAATGCTGAAATTATTATTATTATTATTATTATTATTATTATTATTATTATTATTATTATTATTATTATTATTATTATTATTATTATTATTATTATTATTATTATTATTATTATTATTATTATTATTATTTACTATTAATTACATTACAACGATAGTTTGGCCAAGTACACTAACGCCGCCGAATGGTATATTTTATTTATTTAATAATATTTCTCTTAAGCACTCTATTTTTTATTATGCTTCAATTTTTTCCATTTTTTTCCCCCAAAACTTTCAATCAACGTCTGTATGAAAAGCGTGACTGTTGGTGTCAGCCTAGGACCCTAGGCCTATACTAGGTAGGACTTAACTTAGCCTGTATATAGTTAGGCCCATAGTTTATCCACTTTCTCTCTATCCTTTGGTATTACTGAACCTATCAACACTTTATAAAAGGGGGTACTAGCTGTTGTTGTTGTAGATATTATACTAACATTTAATAAACATCCAAGAAGGTCACAGTTAGTTACACACGTATATCCCATAAATCCGTAAGATATCATAGGCCTAGCGTAGGTAAACATAGAAAGAGCAATAATAGTAAAACTCGAGCGTCACGACATTGCGAAGTGTCTGCTCTTGTTCCTCGTATCGAACTTAGTCGAGTCAATCCGAGAAGGCTCGAGTGAAGTTTCATGCAAATGTTTCGTACGGAAAAAAATCGCGCCCGGGCTCTTAAAATATTGTTTGCAATTTTTGAGGGAGCTTATTCAAACGGGGTGCTTATTCGAACGGGGCGCTTATCAAAACAGAGTGGAAATTAAGGGGGTCCTTATGGAAATAGATGAAAATCGAGGGGTTCTTATGAGAACTTATTAAATTCAAGAGGCATATTTTGAATGAAAAACGATTATAAGGATATCAGGAAACCGCAAATTACGAATGGTGGCGGTGCATGGCTTGTCATGACAAGAAAGGTGTGAGTACATGTATTACATAACAGCAGAATAGCAGATGAAATTAGTGGTGGTGGTTAGCTTGTTGGCCATCGGCTG